TTTTTGAAATAGGATTATTTACGGAAGATGTCGCCGGGTTCTGGTAACATAGTAAAACGTATTCGAAAAAATATGCAGAACTCGAAACGTCTCATGGATGTCTCTAAAATTTGTTTTTCTTAGAAAAAGTGAAAAAAAATAAAGTGTTCAAAATCACAAAAATTTTTGAAAAATACCGATCGAGATAAGCCAAAATGAAATTGAGTCCAATTCTTTCATCATATGTACAGGAACACTTGCTCTATACCCCGGTATGTCAATCTCAATTTTGAAAATAGCTTGTATTCGGCTAAACTGCTGATTTTGGAATTTTTTTTCAAAACTGTTTTTTCGTAAAAACGATTCAATTTCTTCCTCCGCTTTATTTTCGGCTTTATCGGTACATGGAATTGGTATAAAGCAAAAATCAGGAGTCAGCAAAATAGTTTTGCATAAGAATTTTATAGAAAATTAATATTCGGTAGAAAATCATCTATTTTTGTATTAGCTGGTTAGTCGGACACTCAGTTTTGGTTCCATTGTCAGCTCAAAGCTGCAGAAATAAGAAGAAGTTAATTTAGGGCTTTTCTTATAAATTCTATGCAGAGCTGGAAGATGTCTCATTTTAATCAGAAATGTGCGCGCTACAATTATGCCTCGTTAAGAATGGTTTAGACTATTTCTTAGAGTTTCTGAAAAACTAGTTCTTCAGAAAAACTGAGTCTTCAAGAGCCATGGGGAAAAATGCTTTATGCCATAGTAATCAGCTCGTGAAGCTCTACAAACTAGGATATGTCCCATTGAAAGTGAGAGTGGCACTTGGGGATCTTTCCTCGTGTGAAAACTTGTTTCTTATGAGTAAGAATTAAGAAATTTTCTAGATGAGTGATATTCCGACAAGCGCATTTTCATGAGGGATAAAACTCGAAAAAAGGAGGACTATTAGTCGTGCGATTATGTGTGTATTAGCCTCTGGATTACAGATGGTCACAGGTTTTGCAAACTTATAACTTCTAGGTCTCTAAGTCCAGTGTTTGAGAAAATCACTATAGGTCGGTCTTAAAATTTACTGATCGTACACAGATGGTCGCATTTTTTGATTTCCACGGGAGATAACTTGGGTTTTTGGCATTCAATGCATTAGATTATGAGGATTTCTAAGCTACCAAGGTTACTAAGATTTGAAACAAAACAAAAATTGCGGTTGTTGATCTTTGGAAACATAGGATTGTTTTAATTTATCCAACTATCGAGCCGAGTCAAACGTGTTTATACATATGTTACAGTGGAAATTGAAATTTTAATGTCCACTAGTAGAAACTGAAATCGAGATGTCTGCACATGTGATAAAACATGAATTTTCGATAATTCAGCTTACATAATGAAAATTCGAACTTATCAATCATTCAGAAAGTTTTACAACATCCAGTAGTCATTTCGAGAAGTGAGAGTGAGTGGAGAAACTACATCTCAAGAGCAAAAGCTCTTAAACATTGCTAAATCAACTACGAGTTAGATTTTCGTGCTAAATGTTGTTTTTCCACTCACTCGGTTCCCACTTGAAATGGTTACCGGGTGTTATGAAGCTTTCTGGAGGATTGATAAGTTCGAATTTTCATTGTGTAAGCTGAATTATCGAAAATCCATGTTTTATCACATGTGCAGACATCTCGATTTCAGTTTCTACTAGTGGACATTAAAATTTCAATTTCCACTAGTGGAATTTTAAATTCCACTGGACTTTAATTTCCACTATAATACATGTATGGACTTGGACGAGAAAATGGCCCTGGCTATCTCTGCTCTGAATACTAGTTATTTCATTAATTCCGATGAAAATATGCTGAACTGATTAACGAAAAGAAATAGTGATCGACGCTTGATTATGTCTAAGATAGATTTTAATTTGTTATCGATAGTAATAGTTAAGATGTGTGGGAGGAGGTCGGCTGAACGGCTATACACTGTTTTATATATATATATATATATACGAATTGTTCATTCAAGGAAAACAAAAACAAACTTCCTCATCTTTATGCCATATGTGTCTTGTTCGAAATTGTACCACTGATAGGGCGAGATGTTTAAAATAATCGACACACACGCAGTTATATCAGGAAAGACACTTCTCATTCTTTTGTATCTAATCAATGTTGTGTGTATAAGTATGAGCATTGACTAAATAATCCTTAATTGATGATACACAAAGACCAGACAGAGCATATCCGTACCGGTTCTTTCATTCAAGCAGAACTATTTCAATCATGACTAGTTAAAAGAGGTAAAGAGCATCTTTCATCTTTCAACTTCATAGTGATGATAACATACACTTAACGCAACGTTGTTTATGAATTCTACGACGAGTTGCATATGCATGTTGCTACAACACAAATTTCACCCAAGCTACTAGTAGTAAAATAAGAACAACAGTATACATAGTATTGAGAAATTTCATCAAACGATCTGTGAAATTATTGTTGATGCTATATATTGTATTTGACAATGAATAAGTCATGATTTATTCTTATTTTTAGAGAAATTCTGGTCCAGTGCACAACGAGTTAAACTCAAATTCCAGCACAACACCGACAATTGATGAAAGCTCGATTCTACAACTGGCCACACAGGGTACATATCTCTATATTGTCGATGGTTTGAATGATATTCTAAGAGTTAAATTACTCTATCTTTTTACTTATCATTTCCATTATTGAGAAGATAAGAAACCGAACGATGATTGATATCAACATTGAATTGTGTAAGAGATAAAAGTTTGAGATGAGAAGATGAGCGAATAATCATATCACACATACAACGAATATATTACATTCAGTATGTGTGTACGAAAGAACAAAATTGCGTAGAGAAAAAAAAAAGAAGAGTTTCACAGTTCGCCGAGAAAGAAATCGATCAACGATTATAATTTCTAACCAAGGTTCTACATTCGTTTGAAGTATTCTATCATCATGTGCGAGTATGAGTGAATAGTCATTTGAGACTATTGATGAACATATAAAACAAGAAACAATATTATGGTGTTTTACTTCTACTCTTCTAATACAGATAGAGGTGACCATACAATATAAGAATAACATTTTTGATTAACTTCGACTGTTTTTAAGAGAATTCCCAACGGTTTTTAAGAAATTTAATCTGATCAAAATTCCGATACATCAAAAACAGATTTTACTATAATAAAAGTTTAATGAACGTGTTCTAAAGGATATGTATCGCAGTTCACGTTATTTATAAAATCATACTCACCTACCTTTTATTGAACACAGTTTTCAGACTTTTAGCAGTTAAAGACTTGCAACAGTTAAGAAAACGTAATTCGAACCCGATTCGATCCTAGAATCCTGTGGGTCTCTTCTGCTAGTCTAAGTTTATTTATGTAAAACTAATAAAGAGTAAATAGAGTTTTTTTTACAGCAAATATATCTCTATTTCGGGAATGACACAGAGTTTACCGTAATGTATTGTTCATAGCTCAATATACTTTTCCTAAATTTTTGTTGCGTTGCATTGACGTTTTCCTGGTTACAAAGTAAATTTCGATCAACTGTCGCCTTTGGGGACTAAATGTGTGTTTATTCATTATTATATTCATTAGGAAACTCTAATTATCATTTCATATGCTTTTACAAGATTCCCTATTACATAATCTATTCACAGGATTTTGGCATCGTTAGAGAAGAAAAAGAGAAAGAGAGAGAAAAAAAAGTTTCATGGAACAATGAATTTTTCTCCCCATTTTGTAGTATAACGTCCTTGTTATATTGACTTGTAGAAATAATGCAAATGTTCGTGTCCGAGTTCTAAAGGGCATTGTAAATCTACCACATATCCTACGCAACAGTAAAATCGAATATTAAAAGTTCAGTTCATAACATTCAATGTTGTACATACGTTCTCAGTATCGATCTTGACATCCCTACTAATAATTTTAGATCCAAATGACTGAGGTTGATAGATGTTTAATCAAAAGAAATTAAAGACAGTATTTTTACTATATTTTATGTATCAGCATCAAGATTTCTGACAACTTTCCTTTTTTGAGTCAGATTAATGAAATGTAGGAAGGTCATATTAAAGTAACTTACCTCTCAGCTATTATTTGAAAAACTTTGTGGCGATAAACACAGCTGTATTGAATCTCTGTGTTCATCCAAAAAAGTCACTTTCGTAATTTAATTTTCTTCACTAAATTGTACTTGACCTCAAACAATTACGTTTTCTACTGTGGTCGCCTATCAACACGTAGAACACATAATAGTCCCCGAGGTCAATAATCATGTATATAGCTTATGTTTGGGCAGTTGCTTGAGACTGACTCCTGTTTAAAACAACCCCTCTCTCATTATGTGTCACACATAAACACTAATAATGTTAAAGTCAACTGTTCAAATAAGATATAGAGCACTATAATAGGATTTTATCAAGAAATTTTCTAATAATTATATTCTTTTTAACATAAAAAGATTCGATCTCTTTTACACGAACATCAATGTCATCTTTCTCTCTCTGTATTACATAACTCAAACGTCAAAACAATGTTCGCTCGCACTCTTTTATACTTAGTTCACGCGTACATGTGTGTGTGTATGTGTATAAAGACACAACTGTTTCCGGATTTATACAAGGAATAGAAACACATATTTATTCCCGGAACTGTATTATTGTTATATCGAGAAGAGATTGTACATGATTCTTTTTTTTTGTATGTAAAGTTTGTTCTTTTGTGTATTGCGCATGAACAACTGATCTTCTCTTCTTTTTTTTTTTGATTATTAAGAATGTAACTGATGATTACATCGTTGTCTCAAAAAGTGAGAGAAAAAGAGAGAATTATAAATTTTTCTTTTGTCTATTCTAATAATAATAGATAATAATAAGTCTCCAAATAATAGATCGGAAGTAATATTATTATATGAATGAACATAGAAAGAGAAAGAGAGAGAGAATGGGAGTGAGAGAAGAGAAGAGAAGCAAAAAGAATTTTTGAAAGAACATCGTATCAAATGTTATACGGTATATCATAGATAGACTGCGAGGTATTGTGTGAATACGTGTTAGAGAAATACTACATGAACGCGAGGTCATATTAATAAAAATAATTCTGTAGTTTGTCTCTTCATTATAATGTGGTAAGTTTTACAATTAACCATAGTTATCTATGTGAAATACAGATTTTAAATTATTATGAAAACAAAGAATTATCTTTTTTTTCCTTTTTAGAAGAGGACGATTCAGCTGAATTAGATGCTATAATTCGCGAATTACGAGAATTTAAAATTCAGTTTGAAGGTTCTTCCAATTCAGTACAATCCTCCTCCTCTTCGCCTCTATTTCATTTACACCATTCACTCAAACATCGAAATATGGATTCAGTTGAATGTCTGCCAAAAACACTCTCTTCTTCATCATCGTCTTCGTCAGCTTCTTCATCTGCCTCGTGTGTTTACGAACTTCGTACATTAGAAGATCAATTAGAAGCAGCATTAGCCAGTTTAACAATGACAGTTAATGGTATGGATACATTGAAAACAAATGAATATTTTTGTACAACAAAACAAATACAGGATTTTGCTCAGCAACAACAACAACAACAACAACGTTCTTCGAATAGTAGTGCATGTAGTAGTGGATTAGGAGATGAGATAACAAATGGTCTCGATGAATCATTACACATGTTCAATGTTGAACATCAACACAATGTCGAAATGCAAGAAAATATATCTGCAACACTCGTAACAGTAAAAGCAGATGATTGTGATTCAGCATTTTCTGAAAGTGGTTCAATACCACCAAATGGAATTTTAAAAATTAATGATGATACCGTAAGTTTAGCGTGAAACAAATGTATTTTAAGAATTTATATATTCAATACTTTTAGTTAACCAACCGAAAACATATGGCTAGAGAAACATCAAAAATATTAGTGCGAACATGCAATGATGATGGATCAACAAAAAGTGAGTTATTATTATATATTCTATGAATAAACAACTCATATATTTTATCTGCCAACAGGTATACTTATTGACGAAACAATGACAATTCGAGATATTTTGTTTATTCTTGTACATAAAAATCATCGTGAACCAGATGTCGATTTTTCATTAGTCGAAATTTTACCTGATTTACACATGGAACGAATATTTGAAGATCATCAAAAATTAACAGAAGCCATTTTGATGTGGCCTAGTATATCAACAAACCGTTTGTTATTTACGAAACGAACGGAAAAATATGCACTATTTCAAACGGTATCCTGTTTGGTACGTATACCAATATTTCAGGAAACATGAACTAACCTTTTCACTTTCCCATTATTTTAGAATGAAAAGTTGGAAAAGAATGGTTTAGTACTGAATCATCCAATAGAAAATGTAAGTTAGACGCCTATTGTTCATTTAAATCTATAAGTTTTTTCATTGTTGAACTATAGGATAATTTATATGATGAATTATTTAAAACTCCGGATATTGAGGGTATTATTTATTTGAAAGAAAAATCGAGAAAATCATGGAAAAAACATTTTTGTGTATTACGTTCATCCGGTCTCTATTACATACCTAAAGGAAAGAGCAAAGTAAGGTTTTTTTAATATAAATTAACAAAAAAAAAACTACTATTAAATAATACCTATGTTCTCTCTATTAGAAAGATCTTGTTAGTTTGGCAAAATTTGAAAATGTTGAATTATTTTTTGGTGTTGGCTGGAAAAAAAANGAAAATCATGGAAAAAACATTTTTGTGTATTACGTTCATCCGGTCTCTATTACATACCTAAAGGAAAGAGCAAAGTAAGGTTTTTTTAATATAAATTAACAAAAAAAAAACTACTATTAAATAATACCTATGTTCTCTCTATTAGAAAGATCTTGTTAGTTTGGCAAAATTTGAAAATGTTGAATTATTTTTTGGTGTTGGCTGGAAAAAAAAGTTTAAGTCACCTTCGGACTATTGTTTTGCGTTAAAGGTAAATAAGTTCTCCATCAATAGTTCGATTATACCTCTCACTTCTTTTTCTTACTTTTAGCATCCATTAATACAAAAAAAAAGTTCAAAATATATCAAATATATGTGTGTAGAAACCAAAAAAGAGTTTGATCGATGGATAGCAAGCATTAGAATAGCTAAGGTACTATCAGGATAATAAATTTTTGATTAAAAAGTGTTGTTCTTGTTTTTTTTTAAGTTTGCACGTCAACTTCAATTAAATTATTTTCTTATGCAAAAGGCAATGAATATGTACAGATCATCAGGTGAGTTGTGTTAATCATCTTTCATATACCTTCGGTATATTGTTTTCAAATTGTGCTTCAAATTACAAACTTTCAATAATTAATTTTTTCTTTAGGACGCTTTGCTGCTGTATGTGCAGCTCGTGGGAGAGGTGATCAGATAGACCACGACTGTCCACCAACACCTTCGATGTCTAAAAAAGATAATCATCAAAACAACAATAAAATAGTGCAATGTCATGAAAAAGTCAACATCAATTCTCACATTGAAAATGATAATAAAATATCAGATTCTTGTAAGTGTTTACAATTATAAGAGTGATTAAAAGTGTAAAAAGCAAAAATTTTTACTTATAGCTTTATCAACAAATTCACCACTTCCGTCCGAAATAAATTCATCAATAAAATCAGCTAGTTATATGGACGAATTGCGACAACGTTTAGAACGGGTTTTATCTGATCCGACATCGCCGACTGCTATTAAACAACAGAATATTGAGAATACTCCAGTGGAAGATAAAAATCATTCATTCGTCATTAATCATAATCCTCATCAAACAACTCGTCTATCGGGTTTACCTGTGTCAAAATCATTTCGTTTACAACCATCTTCAACAACAAAAAATGATAATGTATTCAGTTGTACAAACGAACTTCGACAACATCAAACTCACTCCTATCGTCTACCAGCAAATAATAACAATAGTAGTACTTTAAAACCAACTTTACTCAAAAAGCCAAATGATGAAACGTTCATATCCAATACTGAACCATCCAAATGTCCGATAATGAAATCGCGATCTCAAGTACCATTAAAAAATACTACCGAAACATCATCATTATCAACGAGATGGAAAAATCGACCAACAGTTGCACCACCAAAATTAAAACAACAAACATCTTTAGATATGAACGGATCTAATACAAAATTACATCAACAATCAACAGAAAACTTATCAAAACTAAATGTATCATCGTCAATTGTTGCATCAACACCTTTACCGAGAAAACAGTTACCATTTCAAATGTCTGATAAAACTTTCTCAATGTTAAATGGATTCAAACACAAACAGAATAATAGTAACAACAATGATGAACAACAAATGAGTAGAAGTTTCATCATACAAACCACCAAACATGCTGGTAGGTATTTTATCTTTAATAACAGCAATATACGAACTCTTATTGTAATTACCTACACAGAACTAACATCTCATACTTTATCGTTTGAATATAATATTAATGTCTTCTATTTAGATCGACAACGTGCAAACAATTCATCTGGACAGTCTAAAACAGATTCATTAAATCTTGACGATACTGATCTGCTTCCGTTACCATCACCAACGTTCTTAGAAGGTTTAAATGAACAACATCAACAAAAAAAACTTAATCAATCAGCCATAATTAATTCATCTTCTTTGATGCAACATAACGGTGAAAACAAAACATCAACTGAAAAACTCTCATCAATTTCACCGCCTCGAATACAAACAACCACGACTAATTTTTCAATTTTATCGAAATCAACGACTTCCACTCAGCAGAAACAAGATCCAAATAAACTAGGAAATAAATCGAATTCATATAAAAATACAACGACAATAAACAAGAAGATGACATTAAACGACATAAAAAATCGACGAATTCAACCGTCCGCTCCACCAACGACATCTTCGTCCTCTTATATTCTTAATAATCATATGGATACGAAAAAAATATTTGCTAACAGAATTTCATCATCATCTCAACAGATTCGATTAAGTAAATCTCACACAACGACAAATGTCACAGCATCGATTTCATCATCATCGCTAAATAAACAAATAACACCCATGACACCAGTCAAACCTGTTCCACCAGTACCGCCAAGAAAATCGAGTATTCCTCGTCCTTCCTTTGCTAATCAATTGAAACCATTACCACCACAACGTGATTTAACAACATCATTGAAAATTGTTAGTCACTTTTAATTAATTATTAACGATCACAGTTTCTATTTTTACCCCGTGAGCTTTGTTATTATTACTTCTACAACTACAGTGAATTTTGAAAGTATTTGTAACGACAATAAGCGGTTATTATGTATTTTTTACTCGTATTATTATACAATAAAGTTTTTATTCAACATCTTCATACTAAAGCCTGAGGATGTGAAGTAATTTTTGATTATTTATCAGAAAAAGAGCGCTCTTTATTTATATAATAATTGTTTAACATGTCTATTTTCTTTTTTATTTACATTTCAATTGATCAAGAATTTGTAGCCTATCGTCGTCGATTTGTAAATGTTAACTCTACACATTCGATTGAAACACTTGTAATTTTCTTTCAGCAATATTCAAAATTTATGTCATGTATTTATGTCATACAAAATATTCTTCAAAACAGAAGTTTAACTTATTAAAGTGGTCTCCTAATCTCTTTATTTAATAATCAATGACTAAAGGATGAATAATTTAATCTACTATTTTGAAAAAAAACATATATGTCTTGCTTTTTCGGTGATGAATAGTAAACGCTTTTATAACAGACAAGATATAATTTTAGTCAAGTTTGTGGATGTATATGGTTTATTTTAATTCTATCTTCTAGTCTCTAAAGATAGCTTCTGTTTTTCTTTTACAATACAAAAAAAAGACCGATGCTAATTTAATTTTAAATAATTTTCTTATTGTTAAATACATAAGTAGGTCTGTCAGTTGAATAAAAAATAAATCTATTTGATGAACAATCGAAAATAAAAAATGCAACCGTGTGAATCATTTTTAATGAATAAATAGAAGTGGGACGAGAAGAAAAAAAAAACTAGATGTGATTTTTATCGATGTATCATAGATATTTGCATGTGAAACGTAAATGTGAATTATCTCTTTATTTTATCAACATTTTAAACGTTGACGCTATTGATCGCTTAATTCTAATCCTTGGAGATTTCTTTATCAATGTGGCCGTAAGAAAAAATGATTTTTTACTCTTTGCCATTGCACGTACGCGAAAACAAGAACAGAGAAAAAAAACCGAGAAAATAATCATAGTAATAATCATTATATATATACTTATAATGAGGAGATAACAGAACAGAACTGAGATCTCTGCTTATTTTTGGAAAGCGAGCACATAATCAATTTTGTTTGAGTATACGTGTTTAGTAATAGAAAAAAAAATAGCAGTTGCTTTCGTATACTTCAACTAAGTAGAAAATGTAAGTGAAGTATATATTTGGACACATTCGAAGGTTAATGATTATAAATAATATTTGTTGTTGTCATATCAATGATTGATGAGATGTATGTGGTATTTCTGACAATTGAACAAATTTAAAGATCGTGCATAGGAGAGACAGTATAAATTTTATTTTATATTAACTTATTGTCTAATGATGATACAAAGATATTGTCGCGTGAATATTATCTTTTGATTGATTTAGCATTTAATATTTATATAAAAACAATGGGAGAAAATAGAAAACATTTAATTCAATTAGATCAGAACTGAAGTACGATAGAAAACTAAGAAAAATTTTATCTTATATCTATATTATCTACTCCGTAAACTCTGTAAGAAACTAACTGTTAATCAAACAAACGCGTATCAACCAACCGCTTTGACAATAAATGATTATTTTCCATATACAGCGTACATTCTATCACTAAAATCAACTGCAATCATAAACACTCTCAACGGATGTATTTATCCGTTGAAAAACGAACTATTAGTCTCTATTTATTTCTCTATATACTATTTATCGGAGGATAATATATATGATTAGATTAAGTTATATTGTATGTTTGTTTTTTTTGTCATATGCGGATGATATGCGTTCGTTACGGAGCAATAAAAAAGAATTTCAATATATCCAAATTAGTTCTGAATTGATAAATAATCAGTAGTTGAGATTAAGAAAAATTTTCGGCGTATAAATAATCTGCTTTAAAGGTAGGTCAAAATTCACGTCTTGATTCCACAAAGACTTTGTAGTTTAAATCTGATTATCTTTTTTTTTTCTGACTTTTCGCTGATTTGTATTAAGTCAGATGGCTGAGATCAAGTTTCTTATTTCTTCATTCAATTTTTTACTAAAAAATTCTAAGTCTCAATACAGTCTGGAAGTGCTGAAATATAATCGATGTTGAAAATTCTATTATATTATTCAGGTAAGAAATGGAAGGAATTAGAATCTATTCTGAAAATACTGAACGTCGTTTTAACTTTGATATTGAGCATTCAAGATCTGATAGCCATCCCATCTAAAAATTCTTGAAAAAAATTTTAAACACTTAATGTTCACGATAGGATTGTAATAAGTTTAAATGATGCAAAAATTAGATTTGAAATATCTTAAAAACAGATTCTAGAGTCAAATTCAACCATTTAAACTTTGTCTAATCTCTCTGCTATACATTGTGTTATCGTATTCATAGTCTGGTACGGAATGACACTGTTTTGGGAGGACCTCTTAAAAAGTGACTATAGGTGTGAACATTGCGCATATGTGCAGATTTCTTCTTTGTTATTCAACTTTTATAACAATATTAGTTTTTTATGTTTTCGTCGATAGGAAAGAAACTATGGGTAATGTATGTCTAAATTGTTTCTTTTCAAGCAAATTGTTACTTCAGACCAATGTTTAACTTTTATTTCATTTTACTAAAAAGAAAAGAACAGCGAGATAGTATTATATATATGGTATGGTGTTAATATCGATATAAATAAAAACTATTTTTCTTTGTATTTACTTCTATACAAGCTTTTTCATCTCTTCCGTATAAGTCTTAACCTTGGGGATAGTATAACCTTCACTTGAATGAACCTGTAGCTGTTAGTATTATTTTTTGTATAGAATAAATGTGCTCTGCATTCTTTAAAAACAATCCGTAGCTTACAAAATGGATATCCGTTTCTGTTACGAGCCAATGCTAAAACCGATATCCATTTTCTTAGCTACGATTTTTTGTAGAGAGCAGATCAAGCATAACGAACATACTGCTCAATGTATACAGTTTATATCTGATCTTCGATCAATGATCAAAACCTGTATATACTCTGTGATACGTGGTAATCTGGAATTCTTTTCCACTTTATAGAAAATCCACTCGATTTTCTATGCGTTGACTTTTCTCATTTACCAGAAAATCGACAAGGAATTTCTAAAAAGTTGGAAAATCGCGACAGCGATTTTCTAATTTTTAGAAAAGCGATTGATTTTCGATAAATAATTTCCAACATTGTAGAAAATCAAAATCGATTTTCTATAAATAAATCCCAATATTCTTGAAATTCGACAGCGATTTTCTAAATACTATCAGTTCCAACTGGTCAGACCGCTGGTTGCTTTTTGAATAACTTTTGATAGGAACCAGATAGAGACCTGCAATTTTCGCTGTTCAATAGCCAAGACTTGAGCAGAACGTTTCACAAGCGGAAGCAACTTTTGAAAAAATTCCAGAGATCGAGTTTTCAGAGGATCTTTGGAAAACCAGCTCCGTTCTCAGAAAACTAACATATAATGTTAGTAATTTTTTTGCATGCGTAGATAGTTTGGACGTTACTCTACAAAATTATGCAAGTCCCGGCTCTCTAGCTATCGTCGTTCGGGCAGGGCTCGCTTTCGCCGAGCACGTGTCTATCTCCGAGCAGACATCTCTGGGAATCTCAAAATGCCATGGACTATAGGTAATCGACTACGCTGAGCATAGTAGCAACATTTGT